AGGCCCATCCTCTCTAGGAAGCTTCCCAGGAATGCCCTAGTGCCCACCAAGCCCCTCTTTCCAATCTATGACTGTTGATTTGTGCAAGTCTCATCTTCAAGGAGCCTGGGGCTCCCCAAGGGCAGGGCCCAGACTTTCTTTCATGCTTGCCCCTTAAGGCTGAAGATGGGATTCCTGCATAAGAAGGCAGACCCAACGGTAGACCCCTCTGGCTGGAGACCACTCAGCTCATGTGTGCTACAGCACGTCTCTAGAGTGGGGTTCTGGGAAGTAGGGCCCCCAGCCCTCCCTGTGGGGTTAGGGTAGGCAGGGTGTCCTTTCTCCCCCTCTTCTGGCAGATGCCTCAGTACAGATGGCCCAGCCCAAGATCAAGGAGGCTGGGGCTGAGCCAAGCTGCGTTTAGTGATTCTGCAGGAGGAAAATGGACCATGTCCAGGAGGGAGGCAGCAGGACCCTCCTCTGCAGCCACAAGGACCACAGGGACAGGCAAGAGGGGCCAGAGTAGGGCAGACAGAATGAAAGACTGAGCAGGGAAAGGCAAAGAATTTGGGGACACAGAGAAGGACAGAGACAGGGGAGATGGAGAAGAGTATAGGGAAGGAGAGAGGGAGGGAGCTGGAGAGGGCAGTGGGGTGGGGGTGGGGAGAAGCACAGACAAGAAAAAGAAACTGAGAAAGATATAAAGACATACACACAGTAAGAGACACAGAAATGCACCCAGAGAAAGAGGCAGGAAGAACCACACATAGAGAGAAATAGAAACAGAGACAGGGAGACAACAGGGGAGACACGGAGAGAGGCACGCACAGAGACAGGCTCAGAGGATTCCATGTGGAATGGTGGGAGGAACACGGCATGGAAGTGCCCGCCTCTGGCCAAACCACCCCCGTGTGAATCCACTTCCCTTCTCCCACAGATAGGGAGACTGAGGCCCAGGAAGGGGGGGGGGACTTGCCCCAGTTATACTATGTATGGACATTTAGAATGGTTTTTGGCTACCCAGGATTTGAATCTGGTCTCAGGAAAGCCTTGGGGAGTTATCCCACAGAGCTGAAATGCCAGACCCTCACCTTCCCAGGCTTCCCTGCAACCAGAGCTTGATGTGACCTGGAGCCCCTCATGCTCACCCCACCCACCATATGAATCTACCAGGAATCAGTGAAGAGGGGGCCCTTGAAATAGAGATGGGGAGAATGCCTCTCCAGGGATACTGCAGGGAGCTTAAGACCCCAGGGCTGTGATGGCAGCAGGGCCACTCAGGGAGTCCCCTCACTCAGAGGCCTCCTCACTGGGCCAACTCTGCCCTGAGTTCCTGGCTGGGTGCCCCAAATCTGGTTCTCCAGCCAACTCAGTGATTCCATAAGCTCCCCAATGTCCTTTTCACAAATCTCTTCTCTGCTTAACCCAGCAAAGTTGCTTTCTGAGGACATATTACACATTCGCCTGCTAAAATCCTACCTGCCCATGGAAGTCCTGCTCAGACGGTTAAGTCCTCTCTCACCCTCTGGGCTGGAGGCATGCATCTTCTTTCAGTCCCTCTAAGCTCTCCTCGCAAACTGAATGTCTCTCATGGAGGCAGCATTGCCCCGTGGTTAAGAGTGAAGGCTGTGGGGCCGGCCCGGTGGCGCACTGCTATAGTGCGCCGCTTGGGAAGCGCGGCGGCGCTCCCGCCGAGGGTTCGGATCCCACATACAGACCGGTTCCCGCTCACTGGCTGAGCGAGGCGCGGGAGCAACACCGAGGGCTGCGATCCCGTTGCCGGTCCCGGTCCGGTATGGGGGCGACACTGAGGGTTGCGATCCGTTGCCGGACATGGAAAAAGACAAAAAAAAAAAAAAAGAGTGAAGGCTGTGGACTCCCCTGTCTGCACGGGGTGCATGGGAGCTGATAAGAACCTTAAACAAGTTAGTTCATGTCTCTGAGTCTCAGTGTTCTCATCTGCAATATGGGCATAAAAGCAGTACGTATTTCAGGGGGAGTGGGGACGAGTTGCATTACAAAGCTCTCTGTAGTAACTGGCACTTGGAAAATGGTCAGCACTTGGTAGTTAGGTGCATATTCTCTGTGTTCTACTGAGTTGAAAGATCCCAGGGACTAATGCCTAAGCTGCTTTCACCAGGCAGTTCCTGCCCTCTGAGGCATGAGGCTTCAGTGGGGCTTTGTCTTGTAGCCTAACAAAAGCAGAGCCTGGACTCTTCCCCCTCTTCCCCCAGGCTTCTCGTGGAAGTTATTTTCTCCCTGTTCCTTCTGTCTAAAGGAGGATCCCACTGAAAAGGCAAACAGAGAAGGAGGAAGCAGCGGCCAGTGGAGCTAGTGGAGGGGGGGAGGAAAATCAATCACGCATTTCCATGGCCATTAGCTGTCTTTGCTCTTCCCACCTGGGCTGACACTGCCACCCTCACGCCCTCACGGCCCCAGGTGCTGGTCAGTGGCAGTGCTCCCCGCCCCCAACTGCTCCCCTCCTTCTCCAGCAGTTACAATGTGGGCAATACTTCAGTCAAAATGACGAAAATTGGGCTGGCCCGGTGGCGCACTGGATGGTGCGCCGCTTGGGAAGCGCGGCTGGCGCTCCCGTCCGAGGGTTCAGATCCCACATACAGACCGGCTCCCGCTCACTGGAGCAACACCGAGGTTTGCAATCCCGTTGCCGGTCCCCGGTCCGGTACGGGGACAACACTGAGGGTTGCGATCCGTTGCCGGACACGGAAAAAAGACAAAAAAAAAAAAAAAAAAAAAAAAAAAAAAAAAAATGACGAAAATTGTTCATTGGCTACCAGGG